GAGTTTCATTTCGCAGGTAATTCAAGAAAAGTGAACTTAAGTTGGTGAATTAGTAATTTATAAGATTCATCCAACATGACAGCATAGCTTTTTCATGTGGCTGCAACCCTAGAATAAATACGCATGCAATATCATGATCAACCTGCATTTTTATGTCCGAGGGAATTCGTCTCCTAATTGTAACCCACAATTTCTCTCATCCATAGATTAACATATGAGCCACATATCGTCAGCACCCTTTTCAATTGGTTACTCCAGATGTTGAGATCTAGGGAAGACCTAGGACAGGTTTTGAATTGTGAATTCAAGACCTACTTTGATTTTTTGATTTTTTGCAATTTTACCCTTCGCTAAGGGTCTGAGAACGAGGTTAATTGTTGTGAAGTGTATACTCATCAAAAATCCGATTTCTCACATTTTAATACACGCGCGCAAAAGCAAAGACATTTTGCACGTTAATGAGTGAAATTTAGAGAACATGACTTCCAAACGTGTTTGCTTTGATCCAAGGCACCTAGATCGTTATTTTTTAGCTAAACTTAATCACTCCTCTTCCCATAGAATTTCTAGTAACAATATTATCTCCTTTAAAGATCAAAAGCGTATTCATCATGACATCTAATTTTACCAACTACAAGGATATTCTCGCCGATTCCATTTCACTTGGACAGGATGAAGACCACGGTCGTGTGGCGCTCACAGTTTTGTTCGGCAAGCAGGGCAGTAGCCAGGGGGGAGCACAGGGTGCACGTCAACCCCCCATCAGTGCAAAAAAGTCCCCTTTTATCAAAAAATGTTATTTATTCACGAAAAAGAGTCGCAATGTTACTCATAGGTCCGTTTTATATTTGATGTGCTCCCACCCGATAAATATTCTGGCTACGGCCCTGGCAAGCCACCACTAAATGCCGAAGATCCCGGCGCCTTACTTCGTTATGAATCCCAAAGGAATGAACTCTGGCAAAATTCGGAATAAACATAAAATCGATTCAGGTCTTTGAATATGTCGAAGGTTGGTTTAAAACCTTAATATCTAAAGTAATACTAGAAACATGTAGAAAGCTTGCCTTCATTGAAGGTAGTTCTTCTATTTAGGACTCATCTTTTCCTTTGTAGAGGTTTGGAACGTAGAAAAATCATGCGAGCTAAAAAACGCCGAAACTTTGAGAGCCTCCGAATTAAAAAGCTCATATTTTGAAAATTAATAAAATATTTCTCTTACACCTAGGTTACACATTTTCAAAGTGGACGACTGCCGAGGATGGCTGCGTTAAGTGCTGCGGAGGACAGGTTTCTCAGACAAGAACTTGCACTTCTAGAGTTGGAAACTGCACGATGGCGCAGGTCGAAAGGAATGTCAAATGTGAACATGTTTGCAGCAAGGTCGAATGCATAGGTATTTTTAAATGATCTAATTATGTTAGTCAGATGCGAGACTAAGCAGTCTGCGTGTGTGTTCAACTTTTGCTGGGTAATAAACCAGATGATCTCGGGGTTAGCCATGCAGCAGGGCTCCAGTTCAGACTTGGTTAGGGGTCTTCCCGTGCGTCCAGGCAGTGCTGTTAGTTAACTACCGTATTGAAAAAAAAAATACATTTGATGTCGATTGATGGCGGCCTAGTAAAAGCATTTATATTATGATTGGTTTTCATATTAGAGTCGTTTGGACAGCACTTGGCGTCGAATGTTGTGCAGACCGTGCTTGTTATCTGGATACATTTCATAATGGGGCTTTTCTGATGATCTCTTCTTCGCGGCTTTTCAAGTGCTCTTGAAAACGAATTCCATGGCTTTTTAAGGATACCTCAGTAGTACAAGAGACCAATAAACATAGACCAGATAGACGGCCCAAAAGAGTTCAAAATAACAACACTTTCTACGTTAATTTAGCACTACCGATTTAGTACTAAAGTTTTTCATGACTATAGATAGATAGCACTCTAAAAGCATGAAAAAGTACAAGAGTTCGGTCAAAAAAACCCGTGAAATAGATGGTTGCATTCTTTTTTTTATGTTTATTTGAGTATCACATTTTGATATTCAGGGGGTTTGTTTCACGGATTGAATGACTTTGACAAGTTTCTGGTGTGGTTATAGTGTTGGCACGAGAACAAAGAGAACAGATCAGCCTTGTAGTGCGTTGAATGTTTATTATGAAATAAATCCATAAAATGTATTTATGCTACACTATAAACGTGCGCTTGGCAATCTCAATATATATGATATTAGATCAAACAAAGCAATTTATCATTTATCTTAATAATGACTTTTAAGCCCTTTTTTATCAGACCCAGTCAGGGGTTTGGGGTATCTACTGGTAAAACCCATTTATCTAGTTAAAACGTCGATTTCAGGCTAGTGAACGAGAAGTTTGCTGTCTAAATCAATTGACATTTATTATAATAAATCGTTCGACTAAAACAGGATCTACCAATATAAACCATCGGCTCAAATGCTCTTAAGCTCGACTCCATAAAGTAGATTCGACGCGACAAAAGATCTACGTCAGAACCTGACCTTACTCGATCAGATCAGATTTTTTAATCTTGTTTTAGGTTTTCTGCTTCCGACTTTTTTCTTTAAAAAAGTGGAAAAACATGTCGACTGCAACAAAATTCAAGGATTATTCGAGGATTTTTTGTCCATTACCCCCCCCCCCCCCCCCCTTTGCAAAGAGAGGGTATTTTTTTCCGGTCTTCAAATCAAAATCTAAGTATGTCTGATTAATCATGAGTACTGATATAAATTTATCATGAATACTAATATATATAGTTCAATACGTGATTTCAAAGATTAAGGACATTAGGCCCACTGTGACTGAAACGACAGCCCACAAAAAACTGAGTTCTGTGCGTCTTATCTACAAATACGATRTCCCGTGACTCGTACACGACTAAAAATGATAAGTACGTATGTTTTTTTTTATGTTAAGGCTACGTTCACACGGGGCCGGTTCCGTTGGGAACCGTTCTAGTTTAGGCGCGTATTCACACTGGAACTCTGGAACTGGCCTCATCTGAGGCTGGCAAAGTGTTCAGGTTTGGAGCCGGCTAAAAAGCCGTCCCACTTTGAGGACAGGTCACTTCGAAGCATGAACGGATCCGTGTGAACACTGCTTCAATCCGTACCGAAATGTGGACTGTTCCGTTTGAACAGTGGGAACTGTCCTAAAACCGAGGTGTCCTCAAAGTTGACCGGCCCCGTGTGAACGTAGTCAAAGATGACTGAAAACATTGCATAGTGGGTATTGTTGAGMGTGCTCGCGGGAAAGAGTTTAAACCAATCAATCAAGAAGCAACTTAGCAACAAATCTTTTTTTTCAAAAACAAATCAAGCGATCGCGAAAGCACTCGGATCCAATGAAGCCAATTAACTAGCGGCATTGGACTCAGGAATGTTTGTTTTAATTACCTATCATATMAAATATTTGTACGTCGCTGTGTATTTTTACAATGGAGTCCCGCTTCCTTTATCGAATCAATGTCCATATATGGCCAAACGTTGAGAGGCTTTCTAAATTAACTATCTGAAAATGTCACACAACATAAGTCTTCAGTAAAAKCCTCAAAAMTCATCCAAAACAACTCCATACCTATTTAAGTAAGCAAGGTAATGTTACCATATATGGCAGCTTAAACGAAGAAATTTTACGATTTATAATCTATGGTCTACTTTTTAGGAATACTAGCCCAATACTCCAGTTTAGACCCTGTTTACATGAGATAGGGTGCTCCTGGCTAGTGGTAGGGCCAAAATCCTTTGTTTTAAATCCTCCAGGGAAAAGAAAACAAAAGAGTTAGCCCTACCGCGTAGGGGCACCCTATCTCATGTAAACAAGGTCTTAGAATTCTTTTTTGTGCAAGCTTAGCTACAATCAAGCATAAATTTTTATTGTCTTCTTTGTAGACAGAGTGTTTGCATTACAATAAATCCTCCGCTGAAAAGAATATATTACATGCTTTCAAGAATAAGGGTGCACAAATAAGATCTCGAAATTGGAGTATTGGAATAAATCCATAAATCGAGTTGATGCATTTGAGATATAATGAGTTTATAGCGCCTGCGCGTTGAGACTCATTTGGCATGCATCTATATGTACGAATTAGACGATATTTGTCATCATTCACTGTCTGTGATATGATTTGTGCAATATGTATATACACTCAGCTGATTGGATGGCGTTGGAGCCACTTGGCTTAGAAAATGCTGAAGAATAGAAAAAGAAAGAACGCATTAGTATTCATGCAGTTATTTCTCGGAAGCTATGTTAACAGAAAATTAAAACTCAATTTTACCTAATAGACGCTATAATGTAAAAGTCACAAGCCCTCGCCATTTGGCAATAACATTTTGGTCTCGTATCTCAATCGGGAGGAAATGCGCGCAAATTTTTCAAAGTAATTTGCAGCATTTTACGCCTTTCTTTAATTTTATACTAAAGGGACATGGTTCACCAGCATCCCTTTCGAGCATTTTTCTCATGTTTGTTCATAAAATACATCGTAGAGTACCAACACTAAAACAACTGTGCAACATAAATACCACTAAATACTGCTAAATTATGCTAATTCTATTGTTTTCTATTGTTTAATTAACACTATTTTGTAGTAAATAGTGGAAAGTGTTGCACACATTTAATGTTTGTACTCTAATGTAAGCAAAACGTTACCCCTTTGTTATCTCTCTTTTCTNTCATCCAAAACAACTCCATACCTATTTAAGTAAGCAAGGTAATGTTACCATATATGGCAGCTTAAACGAAGAAATTTTACGATTTATAATCTATGGTCTACTTTTTAGGAATACTAGCCCAATACTCCAGTTTAGACCCTGTTTACATGAGATAGGGTGCTCCTGGCTAGTGGTAGGGCCAAAATCCTTTGTTTTAAATCCTCCAGGGAAAAGAAAACAAAAGAGTTAGCCCTACCGCGTAGGGGCACCCTATCTCATGTAAACAAGGTCTTAGAATTCTTTTTTGTGCAAGCTTAGCTACAATCAAGCATAAATTTTTATTGTCTTCTTTGTAGACAGAGTGTTTGCATTACAATAAATCCTCCGCTGAAAAGAATATATTACATGCTTTCAAGAATAAGGGTGCACAAATAAGATCTCGAAATTGGAGTATTGGAATAAATCCATAAATCGAGTTGATGCATTTGAGATATAATGAGTTTATAGCGCCTGCGCGTTGAGACTCATTTGGCATGCATCTATATGTACGAATTAGACGATATTTGTCATCATTCACTGTCTGTGATATGATTTGTGCAATATGTATATACACTCAGCTGATTGGATGGCGTTGGAGCCACTTGGCTTAGAAAATGCTGAAGAATAGAAAAAGAAAGAACGCATTAGAATTCATGTAGTTATTTCTCGGAAGCTATGTTAACAGAAAATTAAAACTCAATTTTACCTAATAGACGCTATAATGTAAAAGTCACAAGCCCTCGCCATTTGGCAATAACATTTTGGTCTCGTATCTCAATCGGGAGGAAATGCGCGCAAATTTTTCAAAGTAATTTGCAGCATTTTACGCCTTTCTTTAATTTTATACTAAAGGGACATGGTTCACCAGCATCCCTTTCGAGCATTTTTCTCATGTTTGTTCATAAAATACATCGTAGAGTACCAACACTAAAACAACTGTGCAACATAAATACCACTAAATACTGCTAAATTATGCTAATTCTATTGTTTTCTATTGTTTAATTAACACTATTTTGTAGTAAATAGTGGAAAGTGTTGCACACATTTAATGTTTGTACTCTAATGTAAGCAAAACGTTACCCCTTTGTTATCTCTCTTTTCTATTTGAACGGGAGATACTGTAAGATTCGACCTTTAAACTGATGGATGAAAACGGATTGCGAATGGATATTCGATGTCACCTCATTTTCCATATATGAAAAAACTAAAACACGGCTTCAGTGATTGCTGGTGGATCATGTCCCCTTAAGACCTTTGAGCAAAAGCATCTGTTCTCATATAAAACAGCCCTAATGAAAGGACACTCAAATAGCCTACTTTTCTACTTTCTTTAATGAATGCTCACACACGAAAGACCTCCAGATGACTACTTACTAGAGCAGATTTCGTATGAGTGGGAAACGGACGGTACTGTACTGTGACCGTAATCGTACTGTAACCAAATTCCTCTAGTGCCCCATTGGTTCACCAAAATTGTGCAGTTCAGGTCCGGTAACTGTGCGGTAACCGTGCGGTAACGGTGTCCCACTCATACGAAATCCGCTCTATTATTATGATTACTTACATTTTACTTGCAAGAATTCCCAGCAACATGATTGCAGTCGAGAAGCACGTCAAGCCACATGCTGTTAAAAAAAACAGATAAGTGAACTTAATTATCAAAATTTTTATTTGATAAAAATATAATGTACCATTTACAGTCATTTATAAAAATGACAGCTGACATGAATCGTTCTATCTGATGAATCATGGGACATTTTCACTCTAACCATTCTTTCTTACGGCGCGCGTGTCTCTGTCCTCTGATATAAACACGATGGGAGTTCGAAAAACACGAGGGAAAGCAAGCTTAGGAACACGTGCGTAGCGAGTGTTTCTCTTGCTTCTCGAGTGTTTTTCAACTCCCTCCGTGTTTATATCAGAGGACAGAGACACAAGCGGCCGTTTTATATTTCTTTTATAAAATTTTTCGAGCGAAAAGAACATTTTGCCGGTGAGCCGTGTGTGCGCGCGTTATATATCAAAAAATTTATATTTAAGAAATATATCGTATACAGCGTGATGGGAAAGTGCAAACGTGCTTGYTACCTTTACTGGGGCAACCTGGAGGTTTCATATTCAAGGCTTTTCCACAATCCAATTCTCGTGTTTCTTTCGGAACGGCTGCACATGTTGTTGTGTTAGTTTCGCACTCCTGCTTTTCCTTGGCTTTTCCAATGTGACTTTTACAGCATTCCTTCAGATAAACATCTGTGTCCAGCTTCCAAATAAGAGTAACGCCTAAATAATAAAATGGAATGCAATTTTAATTAAAAGTTGTWGGTATCGCTGTTGATATATTCGTTTGTATGTTATACTAAAAAAGATAAGGATTTTACAATGAGCGCCTTCATTGGTTGAAATGTGCATRAAAGTTGTAATTATTTCATAATAGTATTAGACGATATTGTCGTGTTTCCATGATTCTATTAAAAGATTGTTGGMCACTTGAAAAATAAGCTGGAAGTCAGTGATTCAAAACCTGTCTCGTGTCACCCAACAGCAGAAATCCTGTGTTTCTAAGCAGAGAAATGCAGAAAATATCTTCTAATAAGTARATAAAAGAGAGGACGTATTTTGTCTCCGGAAAATGAGAATTCTCCGGAAAATAAGAATCGTCTTCTTCCTGGAAGCCTGTTGTTTTCAACTAGATATGCATGGTTATATGAGGGACCGACGAGTTCCTGGGAGAAATAAGATGAAAGTAACAAGTGGCTGCCAGGAAGATTATAGAATTCTCTACAGTCTCCTACTCGGCTTTTGGTTTTCTCGCATTGAGGCTGTAGCGGTAGAATCCTTGAGAGGCATTGTGGGACAAAAAACAACATTCCATTGTGCTTTGAGAGRCCAAAAACATTTATAGTCGGGATTGCTGTGTCGCGATCTAATTCATTGGCAAAAACTTTGTTTCAATCGAAAATCACAAGAAATTACGCGAAGCTTGTTGATATTATACTTCAAAATAATAAGGGTAATAAATATCGCATTTTTAATCAAGACTTAATCATGAAGTGTTTATTGTCATTTGAATTCCCGGATGGCCYTCGAACACTTACATTTCGAATAATTCAAACGCTATAAATACTCAGTTTTGTTCCTTCTACGTGTGTTTTAATATTCCGAGCTTTCGGACAACTTGTCCATCATCAGGGCAAAATGAAATTACAATGCGTGCGCGAGGATACAAATGTAAACAAAACACTATGGTAACATAACTGCTTAAGAGCGCGCAATAGTTCAAATCAATTAACATACTGCGCGTGCATAGAATAGTCTCCTTCACGGTTACCTGCGCCATCTTGAAAGGTAGCCGTGCCTTAACATCGAAGCGAGACAACCGTTGAGTGTGCAATGATAGAAACCTTCTTTCACACCTATAGACAATTATTCACAGGTTTCTATCATTGCACGCTCAACGGTTGTCTCGCTTCGATGTAAAGGCACGGCTACCTTTCAAGATGGCGCAGGTAACCGTGAAGGAGACTATTACACGAAAAATCATTGGATTACAATAGAAAGGATAGAATGTTAAGACTAGTTAATGTGTCAAGAGAAAGCTCGGAATATTAAAACACACGTAGAAGGAACAAAACTGAGTATTTATAATGAATCCTACGTACGAAAACATTTTAAAATTCAAACGCTGTTTCCCACGAGTCAGAATGCTATGTAGTTATTTTCTATACAATCTCGAAATTTTAGTCCAACTCGCTGAAAATTTCTTGCTAAATCACTGAAGCACTGACTCATCTAGGCTCAGTCTCCAGCCGTCGGGATTTCGTGCGCCCGCGATACTCTCTCCCTTGACGGCTGGGCGCATGGGGTTCGCTATTGTCAGTCTCGACCAATCAGCGAGTGGTCCCCGATATTTTCAGGGGCATATCATTAATAAATTAGCAGGCAGCCGTCGTCGCAGTGTAACAAAGTGGCGGACAATTCGTCGTGTGAGATTCTCGTTTGAACGCTCTGAAGTCGTTTAGCTTGGACGAATTTAGAGAAATACAGCAAAAGGCTCTTAAAGAGATTGTTCTTGGAAAAGATGTCCTTGTTATTCTTCCTACTGGCTCGGGCAAATCTCTTATTTTTCAAACAGCGCCACTAGTGCATTTTGCTCGTCTTTCTGGCAGATAATATATCCATTTGGATTATTAAACCCTACACATGTTTTACTTGGGGTAATTTCCATTCCTTTCTCTTTTTTAAAGCGCTAACTATTACATTATATCGCCACTTCGCCAAGTTTTCATTTCACATAATTTCCCGTCTTGTAGCAAAACCTTTAATACGGCTGTTGTCAGATATTTCACTTCCGTTCACTGAAAAATTCACTTCCGTTATTCATAATATGCTAATTACACAAAAACTTCACGGACATGCGCGACGCGTTTCGAACCCCATGCGCCCAGCCGTCAGGGGAGAGAGTATCGCGGGCGCACGAAATCCCGACGGCTGGAGACTGAGCCTATGACTCATCTTACAACGCTAGAATTGAATTCAAATGTTTCGTGGCTCTAATTAACTAACAAACCTAGCAACYATTGTTTAACAAGTGAAATGACTTTTAGTCTAAACCTGTATAACAAAACTTGACTATCAASGTGTGAGAATCTTACCTTTGTATTGGACTGAAATCACGAGAGAATTAGCGTCCACGGTGACATTCCCCACCTTAAAGGTTCCCGCTTTAACGGCGTCTTGAAAACTTTTWACGGGGTCAGAGCCACTTACGACATTTTTAAAGATAATGGTAAAGTTTACCACGACRCTTCCTTGCGAGATTGAATTGATTTYAACCTCTGTATTATTATGCACTTTCTTCATCTTTAAAATAGAAATTAAAAACCGAAATCATACACTATCCAGGAGATGAAATTGGAATATGAGAATGAAGTGTCAACTGGGGAAGATCTTTCATTATATATTTTGTATCGTAAAATGTTTGTATCACTGACAATACTCACCGAGACAGTAATCTCATTGATCAGTGTCATAGATTCGTAACTGTTCAGGTCGCTGTAAGAGATAAYCCATTGTTTGGKCAATTTCATTTGAGCACTAACCTKTGCCTCGAATGTTTCTGCAAAAAATGAGGGAAATAAATTAGAGTCAAGTACTTTCTTATTAGAATTACCATCAGCGTCTTACAATTACAGCTCCCCGATCATGAGATCAAACCACTACTTTCTCCAACTCACTGAACTCGTTTGTTTGATACATATTAAAATTTKCAAACTTCATTTTACTGGCAAATGAAATAAATAAAGAAATAAAACGAATATGAAAATAAAATATTTACGTATGAGTACTGCTCAAAAACTGAATGATTTTGGTGTAGCTGTATTGATATATGTAGCTGTATGGTCTTCAGAATCCACCAAAATAATAGCCGATTTGCATTATGGCGTCATTAACTACAACTACCAGAATGCTTTGCCCACTTTCTTTTGTAAAGCAATTAGTGCCAATTGTTTTATTAATCTCCAAGGGGATTAAAAATCTGAATAACAATGAAAATGTGCAAGGCTCTCTGGTAGTTGTAGTTAAGTTACGCCATCATGCAAATGGCCTATTGCTATTATAAATCCAGCATTCTGGATGCCTATAGACTTCTGAACCTTTTACGTCACTACTTGATTTTCAATGCATTGTGGGATCAGTTTCAAGAGAAAACAAAAGAAATCCSCCATGTTTGTCCCAAATATATCCTACAATGCATTGCGTATACGGTACATGAAGTAAAAGCTGCAGAGGTCTATTGAACTATGGTTAATTCAAGATAGACTGTGGTCGCATGGAATGATGCGAAAATAGTCGAAGAAATGTCGAGAAAAATTTTTCTTGATGATCTCTTTTTATCATATTCCTCGTGTAGTTTGGTTCTTGGTGGATACAGTTATACCACTCGGTCTGGTGAACAACGACTTGATAATCCATGAGACCATCAACTCGTAGTCCACTCAAGCTCATGCTTTAATTGTTAAATACACGATTCCTAGGATCGTTACAWTTACTTTAGTTTATTTAAGCTGGCTCCAATACTGTGATACTTTTGGTGGCATGGCTACTATATTTACCTTTTGGTGCTGTGGTAGGTTTCGTTGTTGTTTGTGCTGTAGGTACCGATGAGGAAGACGAAGCCGCAGTTGTACTTGCTTGTATTGATGTGGTGGCTGCAGAAGATACTGTAGTAGTTGATGCAGCAGTGGTTACAGCTGAAGATGTAGTTGTTGGTACTGGTGTTGATGTAGTTGATGCGTTACCAGCAATTGTGGTTGTCGATGMRGAAGGAGTAACTGAAATATTCAATATCAATATGACTTTACTCTAGCACGCTTTTCACGATTTCCAGTGTTTGCACTTCTCAAATCTTTTTGCAACGACGCATATTAGCCATTCCGAAATTCAAAAGGAGACTGGGAACGAGTGTGAAAATATTACATTTATCGAAAACTGAACCTCACCACATGAAAGACCACACTAAAATAAGAGTTCTTGTCAAGTTTGAGCATCATTTGGTTGAATACTCACCGAGTAGGAATTTTTTCAAATTTGTAAAAATAAGAGAGAATGTATGGTTTTTGGGGACGCTGATCAAAACCTCCATACATTCTTTGTAATTTTGTTGAGTTTGAAAAGCTTGAAACTCTGTAATTATTAATCTGAACACTCTCAAACTCAGCAGCTATACTATTTTTAGTTTTGCTCTTTCTTGTCCTGGTGTCTGTTTTTTGATTGCTTCAAACGGTATCGAGTTGTGACTAGTCACCAGTCCTTTTTGGAATTTCGGAACGGGCAATTATTCAGCCATGAGATATGCGTGTGAAAGTGAAGTCAGGTCGGTTTTACTGAGAAGAAATGAATGAGAATATCAACGTGTGAGAAATCGCGCACTTTTTAAAGTTCTTTTCTCGGTCTGGGGATCTCTAATAAAGATTATTTTCTACCTGATGCAGTACTTGATACAATCGMAGAGGAAGAGTTAWTTCCTGATGCCTGTGCTGTTGAGAAATACTCGAATAATAAAGTATAATTCACCAAAAACGTCCCAGCATGCAACATAACATAGCTCTATTTCAACTCTAACTCTAATCGAACTCTACTCTAACTCTAATCAAACGGCTCTAATTATAACTTTTAATCAACAAGGTCTAATCAGAATCTTCCTTATTTGGATAAGAAAATGAAAGCGMGCTTAGTAATGCACATATAAGGTCAATAGGATTTGATTGGCTAATACTGTATAGCTGAAGCCACAAATAAAGAAGAAAAATCAATGACTTTGAAAATATTAAAATATTTAGACTATCGAACTTTGGTTGGGAACAAACGGTTATTTYCGACATTCTAATATTACTTTCAAAGAAGAGACTCCCAAGAGAATCGTGAGAAGAGAGCGAGCATAATAAGCTGAATAAAGCGAAATTTTGACAAATCAAGAGTGTGCATCCTGCTGTAAACCATATCAAAGAATTGTATATCATTCGTGCGGGWTCCCTGTGCTTTTTMGTTTTGGRCTTCCTTTAGCGAATCCATRCCATATATGGGAACAAACAAAATGGCCGATTGTTGAAAAGTGTTTTCGCTATAATATCTGCAAGTTTCAGACGATTTCATGCTTTAAACGTTGAGAAAATCGCCAAAAAACATTCTTATCGTACTTCCAAATATGGTAAGATTACCATATATGGCTGCTAAACGAAGGACAACTTTTGTGGGGCAATTGAAAGAGTCTGATTAATTGTATTCAGAGGCGGTTCCCATGGCAAACTATACAGTTGGCCTTGACTGAATGACCTAATTGTGTCAGTTTCAACTAAGCTGGAGSGCGAGTAACTTAGATAATGCGACACTACACTTGAATTGCAATGACCAATCAAAATGCTGGATTGCTGTTTAGTATGTTCATGGTAACGCCATGTAAGGACATTACAACGAACAACAACTGARGAGCATTGATAGGAGAAATAAAAAATTAAAAGGTTTATGGGGTGATATGCTTTCCGTTGTATCATACCGCCGGCCGGTACCAAGCGGTACTGGAATCAGATTTGTAATATGTCAGCCGATTCCTCTGAAAGACATCAAAAAAATCCGCGTCAAGGACTACTATAGTGGACTATATATGAGACTAAAACAAGTAGCGAACACTATTGAGGCAGTAAACTGCTAATTGTCATAATAGTTACAGCTATAGTCAAGYTTTTATATCATTGAAAAAAACTTTTTGACTATTATTCTTGTTAATTATTGCAGATGTTGCTCAGATCGTTAATAATTGAAGAGACCTAAAGTAGTGTTATTTCGGTGGGAGAATATTTATTCAGGTTCATAATTTCTCTTGAAATTATCCTTYTTTCTCATTATATAAGATAATTTGGAAGTTTTTGGATGTAGCATCAAATTTATGTTGGAATAATCTTTTAAAAGGTAAAAAGTAAATCAGTTTATTGAGGTCTGAAGCAATTCCTAAGTAAACGCTTCGGCAGCTTCTTTAGCCATTTTTCTGTTTCCATGGAAAATATGGAAAACATAATAGCGTTGAAAACGGAAATCGGTYGCTAGTTCCGAAGAAACTAATTGAGCTCAGGAACCTCACTTTCATTTGCGAAAAATAGCATCTTTAACGAAWYTAATATTGTCAATGTTAGTTCGKGATGCAAATTTTRAAGAAAGAGAGATTCGAAGCTACGCAACGCTATATTCAACAGTTTTAAATCCAGCATTAAGATCCATCTAGAAGTCGATATGATTACGAACGTCAGGATCGATTCTTGGCATTGCCAATTTCAAAAATGCAATATTGCTTTTCTTTGSACCATAGTTTGCACGCTATTTTGTTTTAGTAGATCGGTGACTATACACAAAACGAGATTACAAAAAAAATAAGCTGCATGAATTCTTTGCCAGAAGACAGGCTCTCCTCTAATTGCGCCAAAACAGTGGAGTCGAGCCAAATTTTGCATAAAGTTTCTAGCTAACGCACTTTGAAGCGCTGGTTTGTTAGTCATTTTTTTGTAATATTCCATTTACATTTCTCAAAATTTGTAATGATGAATTATCTCTTATTTTTTTATAAATTTATTTTTGGACAATTTCTACAGCCATTATTTTCTTTTCCTGTCGATAGCTAAACATTTTATGAGTTTTTTTTCACATTTATCTGTTCAATTCCGATGTTATTAAAAGCGTTTTCTTTTTTGACTTTCTTGACTTGCTGATCAAAGTAGAAGTCCCGCTTTTGATGTCATAGCATAAAAGGACTCCGTTTCAATTCGTTCACAACACCTTGTTTCTTCCCCTCATGTCATCATTTATTTTTCTTTCACTTTCCGTCGTATTTCTCTTAAATCTTTCATTCTTCTGGGCTTTATTTGCCATTCCTTTGACATTTTAAAGTACTTCTTTTTTACGGCCTGATAAAAAGTTTTCATAACAGGTTCATAAGATTAATTAAGACAAAAATTTTCACATCTGCGAAACTGTAGCTTTAATCATATAGCTGGCTTGAATAATGTCAAAGTCTATATAAACTGTACCTGTTCCTTCTAAAAATAATTCCATTAAAAWGCAGTTACAAGACGCAATAACAAAAAAGCATAATTTACAAAGAATTATCAGCACAATTCTACTTTGCGACTATGACATTCATCAAATGTTTCTCCATATAAATTATCTTGGCTTAATTATAATTTTTTCGCAATGAAACGTTCTTTTTTCGACGATTATTTGGAAGATTCTGKAGATTGGAAAGAAGAGTTTGCTTGATTTCGTAGGGTTTTTTTTCACTGTGAAATCTATCACAAAAAATCAGGCCTGTAATATAATTTTTAAGTACGTTTTGATCAGTATTTCTTGCTGTAAGTCCTGTGTGATAGTCAAAACATTTTCATCTTACCTTGAAAAAAGAAATAACTGAACACTACTATCGCCAAATGAAACATCGAAATTTTCGCCATTTTGGATACAACTTTTGCTAGCTAGAGCAATGAAGACTTCAGGAGTGCAATAAGTCGTGTCTCCAGTCAGAAGCTATTGACAACAGATGCTCAAGACATTATTGAAATATCAAAATATACATTAATTAATAATGGTTTACGTCACAACAACAGTAATGCTAAACTTAAAGACATTGTCCAATTTTACATTGAAATAATTTGGTGCATGCCCCCCAAAGAGGTTTCCAAAGCAACCGATCAACAAACACTAATGATTCCGAATGAAGAGCAAACATCAATGCTCTGTTAAGTGATTCGCCAGCAATTCAGTCAAAAAAAATCCTTTTTTTTGCTGAACATTACATAATATTTCTTTCGGAGTAATGAAAGTTTAAACGAATTTTATTCTCGTGGAAATAGGATCGATTCTTTTCTCAGCTATTGTTATGTAACAATATAGGATAAGTCATGACGTGTAGAAACATAAAAAAATCGTATTCACGGGATCACGTACAGACAACCAGTAGACAGATCGATATAATATTATTACAATTTGTATGCTCAACGATCGGCGTGTAGCTATTAGGTCAAAGCAACAAATCATGCACCGAACGATCAGCTTTCAACTCACTGAAATCAACTTCTAAATTACGGTTGTAAAATACCACACATCATCTATCCTTAACTTTCTGAGAGTTGATAGCTTTTTGATCATCTAAAACCCAGAAAAACGATGCTCCCAAGCTTAATAAGTTTTGATCCAGCTGAAGTAACTTTGAATAATTATTTTGAAGCAAAAACTAAGACATAACCTGGACTAAATAAAKCTATAGTATTTCTCAATATTGGGAGAGATGATAGTTTGATCAGCTGAAAGCGTAAAGAAGACTATATTTGGAGAATATTGAAAAACTTTGAGCCGTTMTTATCATAATTTTGAGGCAAAAAAGACAAAAACTGTCCCAAGTGGTATTTCAAAGAATGTGTCGTACCACTGCATAGGGGAACTCTTGGAAAAAGGGCAAAATGAAAAGGCAGCACATGGAAAAAGTAAGCCGTACTTTTTTTTCTATTTTCCTAAAATAAATACTGTAAAGTGTGTTTTCAGTGATCCTTGAAAATATACTTATACATTTTCAATATAGTTTGTTTGAATTCGAGTTTTCTTTTTCTTTTTTCTTTTTCTATCGTCTTTTTTCTTCAAAATAAGTGATATTTTGCTCAATGTAYGCTGAAGAGGGTAATTGAAAATAGAGTTTGTATCATAAAGTGTTTGTATTATAAAGAGTTTAAAGAAGTGCGACGCATTGTAATTGCATGCCTTTTGGATGGGAAGTGGCCCCAATGATTGTCACAGT